TGCGTGTGTATCTAAGAACGGCTGCTAGCCAAAAAACGGCGGCAGTTCGAATCCACCAGCCGCTCCTTGGAAACCCTAGGGGGCGGTTCTACCCTGTCCTATAGGGTTTCTAGGAGTCGGAATCAACTCACCAGCAATAGGTTTGGGTTTGGGTTTTGAGTACCTAAACGGGTGGGCCGGGCCTGCAGGGAGGAACCACCTGGTTTAAAAGGGTCTCATTTTCTTTAGCCCGAGCATAGGGAGCAAGGCTTATTAGGGAGGGGTGAGCTCTGGCCGGGTTGAGGAGGAAGGAACGAGGAGGGAAGGAGCCCCTCGAGCTACAAAGGGGCTCCAGATGAGGGTGGGAGGGGCCGTGAGGAGAGCATTGCCCAGTCCTGGGGGAGGGTCAGCAGGGGGAAGGGGCTTCCACCATACAACCTGACAGGGCCCATCTCTCCAGGGGGTAGGGGCCCAGACCCAGATACACCTGCGAAGGCTGCCTGGAATCAGGTCTCTGAGCCTCCCCCCCTGCCCCCACATCCAGTGCTGCAATCTGAGTGTGAGCGAGAGTCCTCGTGACCCTCTAGGCTTCAAGGTGTCGGACCTGACCATTCCCAAGCACAGGTACCTGTTCCAGGTGAGCACAGGGTGGGCTGGGTGGTCAGGGCTCCCCTGGCCCCTGGGCCTCACACCTGGCTCTCTGACTCCGCCCCCCTCCCTCCCTCCCAGGCCAAGAACCAAGAGGAGAAGAGGCTGTGGGTTCACTGTCTCCAGCGTCTCTTCTTTGAGAATCACCCCGCCTCCATTCCTGCCAAGGTGAGACCCCTGCCACAGCTGGGGACCCCCCTCTGCATTGATCACTGCCCTGGAATCCTCTTAAGACCCTCTGGATACAAGGGGACCCTCTTATAGTGTGATAGTCCAAAGCGCAGATGCAGAGTCAGCCTGCCTGGCTTTGAATCCCAGCTCCACCATGTCCCTGCTGTGTGACCTTGGGCAAGGAATTTAACCTCTCTGGGCTCTGGACCTCAATTTCCTCACCTGAGGGAGTAACACA